GGGAAGGCACGGTAGTTACATGGGATTCTCTCCCCGAATGGGAGCATACCCACTAAACCCCTCTGTTCCCTCATAGCCATAATGTGACGTCACGGGATCGTGTTAACTTACCACCGCGACGCCCCACTGGGCTTGTAAATTATACCTGGTTAAAACATTGATAAATAAATAATCACCACGAATGGATTAATAGACACATCAAGCAAAGCTTAAATAGTGGATAACGTATGTAAACAGAAGCTCGGCGAAAGTTCGCTTAACAGTTTAATTGAAATCTTTCCATTTGTGTTTGACATCGCCGTCCAATTAATGTTAACTGCTGGAAATGTCAATATGAGACTACTGTATTGATTTTACCAAACTATTATTACACTGACGTACGTGGACCAATCCAGTCAGTCGTTATTTATTAGGGCGACCCCATTTCCTCTTGAATTAATTATATTATCTAGTTAATTATGTTAATAAAGTGAATCGGAATATAAAATTAAGTTGGGTGTCTTTTGTTCAAAACATTTTATCTGTAAAAAATAATCTTTGATGTCTGTGGATAATAATTAGTTAAGTATAATTGTGATTTGACGAAAATTAGGAGCTACGGAGTGACCTTACAACATTTATATAAGAACCCAGTAGCCAACATGCCTCTGTAAGGATATGTTTGAATACATAAATTGTTGCATCAGAAAAAAATCCCTAATTTGATACGATAATTGACCTTAATCAGTTCTTAAGTATGTACTAACGTCAACAACAGTGGAGTTAAGAGTTTCCTTGGATCACTGTGGGTTGGATGCAATAAAATCTCAAGGTTACAGCTATTCTGAACCATATTTACTTCTTGATCGTCATCATTGTAAGTTTGTCTTACAAATGCTAACATATTGAAAGAGCAGTTTAACTAATGTGACCGCACCCATTGCAATGCTGGCTTTTATAGCTACTCTATAGACACACGCAGTTTGTTTATAGTCATTTTGCCCTTGCGCTACCATTACGTACGGCGAATAGATGATATAATCAAATTGAAAAGATTAAACCCCAGTACTTCGTAAACTTACAATGAAATTTGCAGATTAATACGAACTGTTGTTTGATATTTTAACGAAATTAGTACAATCTCATTTCGTCGACTTCAATTTTAAACTAGATTTTCTCCACCCTTTTGATTTTTTGTGACACTTAAACGTGAATGAGATTCAAGTATCATAAGTGAATCTACATACATGCTTGCCAAATATGTTAAGGGCTTTTAAAGTTGGACAACTTACGATAATTGTTAAGCAATCTATGTAATTAAATACTACCTATTACTTACCTACTTAATTTAATGTAAGCACACGTGTAGCACGATCCTGAGTCAACACATTTATGCCAATAATGACTGAACGTGGGATGAGAAATAAAAACTTTTATACAGAAAGGTATTAAGAGTGAAGGGATGATCCTTATCGGAGCATAGTTTGAAAAAAAATTGAGAAATATTTTTTTGAACCTCGTGTTTAGTTGATATCTTGTAATTAAATGTTACAATTTATGTTCATTTTGGGAACGAATCTACATCGTTCTGTTTTATGAATCATATTAGTATGATTGTATAGCATCAAAGAGATGAAGTTATTTGCGATTTCAATTATTCTTGGAAAACTTATTGACTAATGAGCACACACAACATCTCACAAACAACATTTTTAATTTGATAAAAAGTTATACTAGTTATTATATATACTAGTAAACTGACGATTACCAGGATAACATGATAATGTAAAGGGTTAACGCCTTTATTTTCTTACTAATATTATAAATGCTATAATGCTAAATGGATGGATATTTGTTTGAAGGTATATACAGAACGGCACAATAGATCTTGATGAAATTTGACATATAGGACATAGTCTGGAAGAACACATAGGCTACTAATTATCTATTTTTTAAATTCTGCGCGGATGGAGTCGCAGTCGACAGCTAGTATTTCATAAATATTGTTTCGCGTTATTGATTTCAATGCAATGCTACAAACATAATCATTATATTTCTGCCAAGCATTGTTACTGTATTAGGATGATTGTTCCATAGCCCAGATCAAGCGATACATTGGATTGTTGTAGCGATTTACAACGTACCCTGAATTCCTCGCACAAATCTACCGTTATCAGTTTAGCTCAAATTGAATACAAGCTTCTGTGTAAACTATCAGCTGTACTAAAGACGATTAATAATATCGCATTATATAGAGGCAAACTATAGAAAAAAATTAACGCACTGTAATAAATTACATTACTAAGCAATTATTTAAGCTACTTTTTCACGTGTGAGTTGACCTCTAGTTTTAATTGTTTGAACTGAAATATCTTCGAAAAAGTGGCTCATTAATAAGTACAGAGAGGTTATTTTATAGGTAACTTTATGATCTACAATTTGGTTTAACATATATTTATAATATCTACCATTTCGCTGTAAAACGCGAAAAACCAGTTAATAGTACCTTTGACCTTGACTTCTTTTTTCCAAATGTGAGATCGATGGAAACTTTTTAAGTTTCACATATTATTGTTCCGAATATTCCTATCAATTTTCAGCTTTATGCAATTTGTAGCTTAAAACCTTAATTTCCTTTCTGATTTTTTCTAAATATCATCATTTAATCTCATGAGACGGTACATTTTTTCTTATTTCATTTGAGATAAATTTTGATAAAACTTATCGAAAACCGCGATAACGATAATTGTAACGAAATAAAATGATTATCCCTTGTATTTATTGATGTCGTAATATTTCTGTTTAAACGTGGGTTTCCATTGTTCGAAATTTCTGTACAAATACATATTCTTTTCTTATTTTTCTGATAGAGCTAATCGCGATAGTAGCGTGCCAGAAATGCTTGTTTGTATATACGCGGTAAAGCGCTAGTTTAAACATTATTAAGCAGCAGAGGAGTATCTCTGAAATATAAGCACAAACGCATTATTACAGCCTTTACTTAACGTGGAAACATTATTCAGACAAGGTTTACGGTAATACGCT